GCAGACAGACTATTAAACAAACCAGCAGCAATAGAACATTAACTTCTATATATCGTAACATAAGTCCGATAACAGTGGGGTAATATTTCCCCTCTGTTTAGTAAAATTCACCCCACGCGATCATCGTTAACAATATCTCCTTCCTCATGAAAACACAAAAACGATTCCAGATGTTCAAACAAGCATGTTGGGCCAGTTGGTGGCAATAAAAACTATGACAACAACACATCAGATTTAGTTTAGGGCAAGAAATAATAGCTAATAAGTTAACAATGGCAATACGATTTAATGATAGAAACAAGCTTGGTCACACACTGCTGTGCTTCTGTGGTGGTCCAGAGGCAGCCACTGATGTTTCTGCTAGACCTTGGCCACCAGGTGTTCATCTCTTTCAAAGAACTTAAATATTTTTTTACTGCTTAGTTTTTGTTCTCGAAAAGGGGAGGTTGTGCGTCAATAATGGGTGCTGAACCCAAAATACAATGAGCATATTCCAAAAATGTGAGATACCACATCCCAAATTTCCAGATGAAATTAAATAAGTCAAATGTGAGTATTTGGTCTTTCTTAAGTTGGAAATTTGGGATTTGTTCCCTCTTTACGAACAGTCGTAACTTGTTTCCTCTTTACGCAGACATAACACCACAACATACAGAAACACAATACTTGAACTTTGGAAGATTAAAGCGGGATTTATACTTTTGCATCAGCTCTGTGCAGAGCCTACACTGTATCCTACTCATGTACTTGTGCAGTGGTGTGTCTGTCACTCTGCAGTTACACCTCTAAAACACTGGCTGGCAGCGGGATTTCTGTGAATTGCTATAAAGTTAAGTTGATGTAAAACACACATTAAACACACATTAAACATGGCTCAATAGAGACAATTTCAAACACAAGTACACAAATATAGCTTCACTATAACTCGCAGCATTCACTGACAAATACTTGTCTCTATCTGGACACATTTTCCCCACAAATACAACATGCTAACGTTATTAGCACAAGCCTATGGCATTTTACATTGTATAAATTAGCCTAGCAACGAGCAGAGATTTCCTCTGCGCATATGAAGCCAGGATAAATCACACACAAGACTTAAAATGCTATTTTTGTGGAGGCTTTAAACTTTATTGTTTCTAACCGTGAAATTAAAGTAAATGAAAGCTTCCTTTTCACTGAGGGAAATGGTTTCAGCTTACAGAAACAGACAGGAGGTCTGCGTCACTGAAAAGTGTAGTTACGTTTCTGAGGAGGTGCACATCAGGCTATGGTGTAGGGTACGGCGTAGGCTCTACGTCGGCGCAGAGCCGGTGTCAGTTCAACGCAAAAGTATAAATCCTGCAGAAGGGACATTATTCCAGCCTTAAATGTCTACTTTAATTCATAATGAAATGAATGACATTTATAATTCCTCGTCAGTCAGATGGAGCAGGGGGTCCTACATGCAGGACGAGCTGTCCCCCAAATGGTAGGGAAACACTGTCTGCTGACCTGACGTTCATATTACCTGATTATTTGCTGAAAATTCATTTCACATATACACATAAACCAGCTCTAATTTCCTTTCTGGTTTCACTGCCCAGTTGGTAAAAAGAGGACTTTAATGTCAAACTAAAACAAAGCTAACAAGAGCAAGATATCTGCTATCAGCCTGTGAATAATCTTTATTACATAAAACGGTGTAAGGGTTAGCTTAGACCATAATAGAAAGTCAATAATGTGATCTGTTATAGACACCATTTACACACATTGTGTCTGCATGTAAACACAGTGAGATCTGTACATACCGCAGGAGCCTGTGTGACACCACAGCAGCTTATTAAAGTAATGAATCAGACGCTGCACTGCACTGATGCATTCACTGATTCACTCCACTCGTAAACTCAGTGGAGTAAAACTAAAGATGCAGATAAGGTTTTGTACAGTCTCACTGACCCCACACGCTAATCGTCTCTGTAACTGTTGCCTCTCCCATGCTTGGATTCATAATATATTAAAACAGTCATACTGAGACTTACACATAAAATGATTCATAACGAGGCCACCAAGTAGTTGTCAAACTACCTTAATTGCTTTAGAGACAATCACAGCTATTCGACAAAATGCAGCCCGACAGATTTTATTCTTTTTAGATTCAAAAGTTCAATGGGCAGAAACACCTTTTTATATATGTTGCAATTATATGAAATAAAATTCCAGTATCTCTGAAACTGATTGAACCAGTGAGAGATTTTAAGCAGGCTTCAAAGAAATGACCAAATAGTCTCTGAAAATAGGAACCTTGTAAAAACTAGTACAGAGGATCATAATGGAAAAAAGCCTGCGACGTTCTTGTGCACGTGCAATTTAATTCTCAACAGTTGTAGATGTGTGTGGTGACTGTCTTCAGGTGAAGCAGATTTATGTCTATTTTATAATTGTTATATCTTTCTATCTGTCCGTCTGTCCCTTTCACACACAGACTGTATATCCTCCCAATCATTACCTCCAGACATCCCTCACAATGGATCTGTTAACGTCATCCCTTTCTTTGTTGTTGTTGTTTTGTCTGGTGCAGTTTGGTGTTTGTTTTAACCCCCAGCATTAATCATCTCAGCAAATTAAAAATCATTCACAGACAAGAGCAAACACATTATCACAGTAAGCTATCCTCTTTCTATTTAACAAAAAAAGAAAAGAAAATGATTTAGGATGTTGTTCTGTTTTAAATGCTCTTATTTCAGGAAGATATGTGACTGGAAGTTATTGTGTTATTTGTATTGTTTTGAGTTAAACTACTGTATTTCTAACCACATGTAGAGAGAGCAAATTGTCCGTCTGTACCTCCCAATGTACTGATTCACTTCTTAAAATTCATTTTTGGGGAGTTTGATGCTTTTCTTATGATTATTATAGATTATAAACAGAGGTGAAGCATTATAAGTGAATTAAAATGTCATTATGGATAATGTTACAAGCTGGACTAACTGTAGTTTTAACACCTTTGTGACTTTAATAGAATGATGTACCACTGTAGCCTAATGGTTATTGATTATTGAAAAATAGCTGAAAGGACATTATGAATAACCATTAACCATTTAAGAATGTGTCGTCATTATTAATAAGGATGTATTATGTGCATTTAGTAAGACTGTAGATGAAGATGTGAGCCACACCGGGCTGTTAACTTTGTTTTTCTCTTTATGTCCTTTATGCGTCAGAGACCAGTGATATGTCAAAGCCTCTGTTGTCTTTTCTTTTCCCTTCTGCAGCTGTGTTTGTGAAGTCTCAAATCTTAGCACCTGGCTGAGTGACTCACTGGTATTGATCAACAATTGTATCAGATTAGTGCAGATATATTATGGTTATCCTGTTCCGTACTTATTGCTGCTTTAATAATGCAACATGTTATTGATCCCGGAAGGGAAATTCTCTTTAGTGCTGTACCACGTTACTGTCGAGGGTTCAAGTGCACTTGAAGAGGTTGAACACTTACTGACATTTGTATTTGCACCCAGAATTCTTGGTGGAAGGAAGTTTGCATACTTTTGGTGCTTTCTGTAATTAAACACTACGTCTTTACTCGTATTGTTATTTATCACTCTCTGTGCATTTTAAGATTTTTAGCAGCTCATAGCGTTCAGCAGACATATTGTACATACAGGGGGGTTTTGGTGTGTTTGTTCTCACTAGTCGCATGAACACAAAAAGGGTAAACTCGTATTAATTTTGCAACAGAAAATAAGATTCTGAGAGGAAAACCTCTCAAAGAAGTGGACTTAGTGTTACAGCAGCCTCATGTAGCCTTTAGAAGTTCAGATCTTTTTAAGAGAGGTTGTATGAGGTGCTAATGCATAGTCAGTGTATCACATACAGTAGAGGTCGTCCATCATGCCCCCAGATGGAGAGGCAGACTGGAGGACCGACACAGAAGCTAAGCAATCTACTGCTGTGGGCAGGGGCAACAGAAAAACAGGTTTTCGCCACCTAAAGAAATCAGTATCAGTTTAAGTGTACGCTCTTTACCTTACAATCAGACAGTGATTCCGGAAATGAATCCGTTACTGCTCTGTGTAAAGACAGACTCCACTGAGGAAAAACTGTAAAAACTGTAAATCTTTGGAGACCAGCAACTCCCGTGTTGAGCAAGCTTTGGTTTTGACGAAAGCTTAGATGGAGAACTGAAGCCGTCAACTGCTTCCCTGTTGGAAAGGGCTCTCTGACGGAAAGATAAAGTACTGAAAATATTCTAAACATAGCTTACGCTTAAACTGACATTGTTTTTTTAAGTGGCTAAAATATGTTTTATTGCTAACTGCTTTGCTTCTGTGTTGGTACTCCTGTCTGCTTCTCCAAACTTGGGGCGTGCCAACAGACACAGACTGTAGGTACTACACTGACTATGGATAAGGACCTCATGTTTAATATTTACTGCAACATTACATCTTAGTGGACACAACTAGAATTTTTGACACTGATTAAAACAAAGCCAAACAAATCTAGTCTAGTAATTGTTTGTTTGCAAACATAAATACAAATTAAAAGTCCACTACTGTCTTATCTTGAGTTGTGATGTGCCTGTTTGTTGAAGGAATGCAACATCATTCTTTCCCTTAGGAAGCTTCTAAACAATGAGATGACAGGAAGTGCATGTTAATTATGTAAATAAAACATTTAATTTTAGCTGCGACCCTGCCGTTAAAACAAAATTTCTTTAATCTTTGAACAGTCTTTTATTAGCTCATCCAGAAGCATTTAACCCAGTATATCAACCAAGCAGACGTCGTCCTGCAGTGACAGCAGCACAACATCTGTGTACCGCTCTTCAGTGGCCTGTGTGTTGACTCTAAAACTTGTCTGAGACATAAACCGATTCATATTTTATCCACTGTGAGTTTATAGCATGTCCTGTTGTAACTCTTGTTTTAAGCTCCAAAGATGGTTCAGCTCCATTATCACAGAGAGAGATTCCCGGATATCATCTGTCATAAGGTAAATGTTGATTGTGTGTCTCACAGGGAGAGACGAGACGATGCAGCCGGCCAAGCCGTCCTTCCTCGAGTACTTTGAGCAGAAAGAGAAGGAGGCCAACAGTCACAATGATGGAGGAAGAGGAGTAAACAACGCAGACAACCGCAAACCATCCACTGAGGCAGACCTTGAGGTGGTGAGTTACAAGAAGCACCGTGTGTGTATGTGTGTGTGTGTGTGTGTGCAATAGAGATGTGAATGCATTCATTATGAGGTAAATGTCTACATGTCATTATCCAGATTGACATTCTGTTGGTGACAACTCCAACATTTTCTGTTACCGTAATTGTGTTACTATAACAATAATAATAGTATTAAATAATATTTTTTATTTGTATAGCACTTACTTAAACAAGGTCACAAAATGCTTCACAAAGTGTGTGACAATAAGACAACAATAACAATACTCGTACTCGTACTCGTACTCGTTGTCCTCCGCTTATCCGGGTCCGGGTCGCGGGGGCAGCAGCCTCAGCAAAGAAGCCCAGACAGTCCTCTCCCCAGCCACTTCCGTCAGCTCTTCCGCGGGAACCCCGAGGCGTTCCCAGGTCAGCCGGGTGATGTAGTCCCTCCAGCGTGTTCTGGGGCGGCGCCGGGGTCTCCTCCCGGTTGGACATGCCCGAAACACCTCCCAAGGGAGGCGTCCAGAAGGCATCCTTATCAGATGCTTCGCTTTCTGGCTAAGCTCCCTCTTCACCACAACGGACCGGTTAAGCGCCTGCATCACTGCTGACGCCGCCCCAATCCGCCTGTCAATCTCCCGCTCCATCCTATCCTCACTCGTGAACAAAATCCCGAGATACTTAAACTCCTCCACCTGAGGCAGGACTTCACCCCCGACCTGGAGTGGGCAATCCACCCTTTTCCGGCTGAGGACCATGGCCTCAGACTTGGAGGTGCTGATTCTCATCCCAGCCGCTTCACAATCGGCTGCGAACCGCCCCAGCGAGAGCTGGAGGTCACTGTTCGATGGAGCTAGGAGGACCACGTCATCCGCAAAAAGCAGGGACGAGATCCTCCCATCACTGAACCTGACACCCTCCACCACTCGGCTGCGCCTAGAAATTCTGTCCATAAAAGTTATGAACAGAACCGGTGACAAAGGGCAGCCCTGGCGGAGTCCAACCCTCACCTGGAACAGGTCCGACTTACTGCCAGCCACGCGAACCAGACTCATGCTCCTTCGGTACAGGGACTGGATGGCCCTTAGCAAGAGGCCACCAACCCCATACTCCCGGAGCACCCCCCACAGGATGCCCCTGGGGACACGGTCGTAAGCCTTCTCCAAATCCACAAAACACATGTGGACTGGTTGGGCAAACTCCCATGCCCCCTCCAGCACCCTGGCGAGGGTAAAGAGCTGGTCCATGGTTCCGCGTCCAGGACGAAAACCACATTGCTCCTCCTCAATCTGAGGTTCAACTATCGACCGGACCCTCTTCTCCAGCACCCTGGAGTAGACCTTACCAGGTAGGCTGAGGAGTGTGATCCCCCTGTAGTTGGAACACACCCTCTGGTCCCCTTTCTTGAAAATGGGGACCACCACCCCGGTCTGCCACTCCAGAGGCACTGCCCCCGATGTCCACGCAATGTTGCAGAGGCGTGTCAGCCAGGACAGCCCTACAACATCCAGAGCCTTGAGATATCCAGGACGAATCTCATCCACCCCCGGGGCTCCGCCGCCTCGGAGTTGTTTCACTACCTCAGCAACTTCTGCCCCAGAAATTGGACGACCCGCCCCCGAGACCCCCGTCTCTGTTTCCTCACTGGAATACGTTTTGGTGGGATTGAGGAGCTCCTCAAAGTATTCCTTCCACCGCCCGACAATGTCCCCAGTTGACGTCAGCAGCTCCCCGCCCCCACTGTAAACAGTGTGAGCAAGTTGCCACCTTCCCCCCTTGAGGCGCCGGACGGTTTGCCAGAACCTCTTTGGAGCCGATCGATAGTCTTCCTCCATGGCCTCACCGAACTCCTCCCACGCCCGAGTTTTTGCCTCCACGACTGCCGCCGCTGTGCTCCGCTTGGCCCGCCGGTACCCGTCAGCTGCTTCCGGAGACCCACAGACCAACCATGCCCTGTAGGCCTCCTTCTTCAGCCTGACGGCTCCCCTCACCTCTGGTGTCCACCAGCGGGTTCGGGGATTACCTCCGCGACTGGCCCCAGTGGCCTTGTGGCCACAGCTCACAACCGCTTCCTCGACAATGGCAGAGCGGAACAAGGCCCGTTCGGACTCAATGTCCCCCTCTGCCCTCGGGACGCGGTCGAAGCTCTACAATATTTTTTTAAAAAAAAGGTTAAAATAGTGTGCACATACACAAAAATAGAACATAGATTTTAACTGACAGCAGTATTTCAAGAAAATTTAATGCAGTATTGTGTGTTTTCACACATAGTAATCACAGTGTTAAAATCTAATATTGTCACATCCATAGTTCAGGATAAGTGAGACCTGAATGAGTCCACATTACGTTCAGTCTAACCGGTTCAAATAAGGACTCGATTATTTCTGTGTCTAAAATCCAAATGCTTCCATGTGAACTCGTAAGACTTCTGATCATATTGTGTCATAATCGAAGCAGAAAAATGTCTTTTTCCACACATGGCACAAAGTGTGAACTGTGAAATTATATGTTAGGCTGTTCCCTTAGTATTTGGGTCTGTTCTGGATCAGGTCTGATTGGTCGCCCTGTAAAGATTAAATAATTTAGATTTACTATCTATGCTTCAAATCACATTAAAGGGTTTTTTTTGCTGATATTTATTCAATTATTAGGACCCCCATTAGCTGTAGCCAAAGCAGCAGTAAATATAAGTATTGGTGAGAACTTTCTGTTTGACCGACTTTGTTCTCACATTTCTGACTGCCTTTACATTTAAGCTGATGCCTCTGTGGAAAACACATTACAGTGAGTGAAGAAGCAAAGGTTGTTTGTCTTGCTCATGGACATTTAAGCAGGACAAATGGCTGCTGCTGCTACTGCTGCTGCTCGAATTAAATATTAAATATGTGACCTTTAAATATGAGGTGGTTTCTCTTACCAGACCACCCGACTGCCAGCTCAGCTTTAGATATTCAGAGGGCACTGAAGCCTTTTCTTTCTGAAAGAGATATCGGAACAATAAACCTTTTGTTTCTCAAACAACAAGGCAAACGTTTCCTGATAGTTACGATTAATAAAAAGAAGAATAATTAGATTTTCCCGCAGTTATTGTTGAGGATTTAGCACCAGTGAAGTAGTGTTTAGATGCTGTAAAATGTTGAACTGTGCGATGGATATCAGTGTGTTGTCGATGTCTAAGTGTGCTTCTTTAAAAGTACAAAGGTGTGTTTGCCACAGTGGAGATGCTCCACATGTGTGTTGATGATGTGACTGTGTGTGTGTGTGTTGTGTGACATGCACCCATTGAGACGTAGATGAGTGCCCGTATGCTTTTGAAGTTGTCAGACTAACAGACAGTGACAGGTAACCGTTGGATGACCCTGATTTTCACTCTTCTTCTCCTGGTTTTTTAATACTGTTCGCTGTGAACATGCATGCTGTCACACACGCACGCACAGCATCATCTTCAATAGATGTACAGCACGTTGCTGTGACACATACACACTGTCAGGTTTAATAAATATCACACACACAGTGAAAGGATCATCGCAGTGATGTTGGGGAGGTCACAGATTTGGGTTAATGGAAAGTTTTTGTTGTGTCTGAATGGAGCAGAAGCTAATTTACATCTGCACTGTCTGCCATACAGCCAATATGTTTTATTTCAAGGCTTAAAGGTTCAGTGTGAAGGATTTAGGGGGATATACTGGCTAAAATGCAATATAAAAAATATGTTTTCTTTAGTGTATAATCACCTGAAATTAAGAATTGTTGTGTTTTTGGTACCTTAGAATGAGCCATTTGTATCTACATAGGCGTCATCGTCTGCTCTACAGAGATCACCATGTTGCACCACCATGTTACTACAGTAGCCCAGAACGGACAAACCAAACACTGGCTCCTGATAGGGCCATTCACATTTTCACATCAGCCATCATAGTTAGCAGCCACTCAGTGAAGAGCATCATTGGAAAACAATAATATTTTTAATGCGAATCTGCTTTATTCAGTCTTCTTTCCAGTTTAAATCTTAATCCCAAGAGGTTTTTCTGGTTAAATAAAATGAATAAATAAATATATAAATCACCTGGTCTGTTTGTTTCGGAGAGGATAATGGATAATGTGCATAATTCGGCTCCTGCTAAAAATCTCCTCAACAGTGAACCTCACAGCGAGACACCACTAAATCTCCTTAAATTGTTCCTGTAAAACAAAATAAATTGTAACACAACAAAAGTTTTCTGTAGCCAAGGTGCTCCAGAAAACTGGTTACTGGAACAAAAAATGCAAATTTTAAGTACATTTCTAAACTGATCATTGCCATAGTAAAAGTCATCGATCAACTAATCATTTCAAACTTTTAAGATAAAAAAAAAGATGCCTGTTTTTCATCTCTCTGAATGCTGCTCTTGTTTTGTTTTTCATTATTTAACAAAACACCTAAAAAACTGATAATGAGATTAAACTCCTCCATTGTTGTTGTTCAGCAGTGTGATGGTTGGTCTTTGTGGTGTTTGTCCCACCTCTCCTCTGCTGTGATTGGATGGCAGGATCAAAAGTGACAGTGACGAGATGATGCAGCATTTTTCAACTCTCGGTGACCAGGGAAAAAAAACTGCAAACATGCAGCGCTCAGTGCAGAATAGACGCTCAGCGGCTCTTCATGCTGCTCACTTTTGTGGCACCCCTTTAATAAAAAGGGGGAAAAAATAGCATGAGTGGCCGTTGCTTGCCATCCCCTGTGGGTGGCTTTTCAATAGCATGGTATTGCAGTATTGCAGTATCATGAGCACAGTGCAAAAAGGTGGAAATGAATGAGCCAGCATGGCCAGACCAACTTACCACAACAAACCATAGAGAAGCTCGGGTCACGACACATATACAGGCAGTGTGACTTCATTCTCTGCTCAGGACGTCATTACTCCAATTTATCTTTTCGTAGCAAATATTGGTTTTCTGTTATATTAATGATCTGAATGTTGCATACAGAAAATTTAAAACGGAGGATATCTGTGTGCTTCACTGCAGCATTTAC